CCTGGCCCCCAACCTGGGCCGCGCACATGCCGCCGGCAATGATCTGCGCCCCCCCCTCTTTGAAGCCCCCCTCTTTGCCGCCCCTGATCTACAGGAGCGACACTCCAAAATGATATCAAATGACCCTGGCGACGTACCCAACCCCTGCGCGATGCGGGGCATGAGTAGCTTGGGAGACGTTATACGGAGGTGACGACGTGACACGGGCGCATGTAATTCTGCGAGCGGCACTCGTGAGGCTCGCAGCCCCCCCCCAGGGTCTGCGAGGTCCTGCTCAGATCTGCGCGGTGCCTCGCTCCGCTGGACCCACCAGCAGCCTTCCAAAGTAGCGACGGTTTCGCAGATCGCAGCCCCCCAAGGACGGCGAGGTTCCGCTAAGATCTGCGCGGTGCCTCACTCTGCTGGACCCGCCAGCAGCCCTTGAACGTGGCGACGGTTTCGCAGATCGCAGCCCCCCAGGGACGGCGAGGTCTCGCTCAGATCTGCGCGGTGCCTCACCCCGCTGGACCCACCAGCAGCCCTCGAAAGTGGTGACGGTTTCGCAGATCGCTATGTTGGCCCCCCCAAGCAGCCCTCGAAAGTGCAGTTTCGCAAATCGCAGACCCCTAGGGATGACGAGGTCTAATTTGGGTATGCGGCGGCTACCCACTATAGCGGGCCCCCAAGCAGCCCTCAAGAGTGGCGACCGTTTCGCAAATCGCATGGCGAGGTCTAATTTGGGTTTCCGGCGGCTACCCACCATGCTGGCCCCCCAAGCAGCCTTCGAAAGTAACGACAGTTTCTCAAGTTGCAGCCCCCCAGTGATGGCAAGGTCCACCCAGTAATGTCCAACACTGGTAAACAAATTATGGCCCCCTCCTCCCCCTCCTTCGGATCCCGACTGCCATTCATTTGCATCCGAATAAATGTTATGTTCATATGTCCCCCTGGAAAAACCCCATGGATGCCGATCGATGCCACTTGTATATACCTCGCTACCAGGGAGAATGCCGATGGGGATGTTCCCGTCTTCCGATCAGAGAATGTGTTTTTTTTTACATCGGGTGTTCGCCATTGGGTTTTCGAATTCAACATCGCCCCATGGCATAACATCTATCAGCGGTGTGCCGCCGCGCTCGCGCTGGCGATTGACATTGGTGCGTTCAATGTCGTATATCCACATGGGGATGTTCCCGTCTTCCGATCAGAGAATGAATGTTTACATTGGGTTTTCGCCATTGGATATTTGAGTTCAACCTCGCTCCCGTTGTATAAACCCTATCAGCGGCATGCCGCCGCCGCGCGCGCGTTGGCGATTGGCATTTGTTCATTCGTTGTCGCATATCCTCATGGGGATGTTCCCATCTTCCGATCAGAAAATGATGTTTGACATTGGGTTTTCGCCATTGGGTTTTGGATTTCAACATGGCTCCCGTTGTATAAGTATAGGTTAGCGGCATGCCGCCGCCGCGCGCGCGTTGGCGATTGGCATGTGTGCATTCAGTGTCGCATATTCACATGGGGATGCCCCCGTCTTCCCATAAGAAAATGAATTGTTACATCGTTCCCGTTGTATCAAATCTATCAGCGGCATGCCGCCGCCTCGCGCGCGCGCGCGATTGGCATGTTTGCATTCCGTGTCGTAGATCCACATTGTGATGTTGCCGTCTTCCGATCAGAGAATGAATTTTAAAATTGGGTTTTCGCATTGGGTTTTGGAGTGCAACATCGCCCCCGTTGTATCAAATCTATCATCGGCATGCCGCCGCCACGCGCGCGCTCGCTGCCGATTGGCATTTTTGCATTCCGTGTCGTATATCCACATGGGGAGGTTCCCGTCTTCCGATCAGGAAATGAAGTTTTACATGTGGTTTTCGCCATTGGGTTTTGGAAAACAAAGTTTGTCCCGTTGTGTAAAATCTATCAGCGGCATGCCGCCGCCGCGCGCGCGCGAACTTTCGCCCCGTTGTATAACATCTATCAGTGGCATGCCGCCGCCGCGCGCGCGTGCGCTGGCGCTTGGCAGTTTTGCAGCCCGTGTCGTACATCCGCATTGGGATGCTCCCGTTCTCCGATCAGAGAATGGATTTGTACATTGGGGTTTCGCCATTGGGTTTTGGAGTTCACCCCCCTGGCATAAAAACGATCAGCGGCGTGCCGCATTTGCGTATACAGCGCCGCTTCGCAACCCAGATACGGCGCGCGGTGCGCAGGGAGTGGTCCGAGAGCGCAGTCTCTATCCACGCTAAGGCCGCAGGGCGTGGCAGGCGTGGCCTGACGCCAAGAGGGGGTGCGCCAGGGCGGTCGCGGGGGCGTTTCCAGCGATCCAGTTTGCCCCGCCTCCCTCATGTTTTCTATAGGCAAGCTACAGCGCTGGGGACAACCATTTTCAAACTGTCTCCCCGAAATATTGTTTTAACAAGTTTTCAGACATGACGCTATCCCCCCAGCAGCCTTCGAAAGTGGCGACAGTTCCTGGAAAAGCAACCCCCCAGGGACGGCGAGGTCTAGTTTTGATCTGCGGCGGCTACCCATTATGCTGTCCCCCAAGCAGCCCTCGAAAGCGGCGACAGTTTCGCAAATCTCTGCCCCCCCAGGGATCGCGAGATCTATTTCGGATCTGCGGCGGCTACCCCCTACTCTGGCCCCCCTAGCTGCCCTCGTTCGTGGCGACCGTTTCGCAAAGTGCAGCCCCCCCCCAGGGATTGCAATGTCAAAGTTGGGTCTGCGACGGCTACACACTACCTATACGACCACCCTGCGGGTGATAAGGAGTTTTTTGGGGGGGCCAGCAATGGGCAACAGTGGTGAATGTTGTTGTGGCAATGCCAGTGGAGATAGTTGCGTTGCCGCTCGCTCTTGGGTCTCACTATCGATATCACAATCGATCTCACAATCGACGTCATCATCATCATCATCATCATCATCATCATCATCATCATCATCAGCATGATGATCATCATCATCATCATCAACGACACCAACATCATCATCATCATCATCATCATCATCATCATCATCATCATCATCATCATCATCATCATCATCATCATCATCATCGCCATAAACAGCATCATCATCATCATTACCATAATCAGCATCACCATCATCATCAGCATCAGCATTATCATCATCATCATCATCATCATCAGCAGCATCGTCAGCATCGTCATCAGCATCAGCAGCATCATCATCATCATCATCATCAGCATCATCATCATCACCATCATCAGGCTTGTCAGTGGGGCAGCCGACGGGACACCGAAGGGACACCAGCGGGACACCGGCGGGACACCGCGCGGCACGGGCCTCCCGGTCAAGGATTTTTTGACCCGGCCGCGCCTCAGCCACACGGGACACCAGCGGGACACCGGCGGGACACCGCGGGGCACCGGCCGCCCAGTCAAGGTTCTTTTGCTCCGGCCGCGCCTCAGCCACAGGAGATTTTCTCTCGCCCGTCCACGCAGCTTCGCCTCGCCCGCACGGCACGCACGAACACGAAACCGAAATCGATTTCCTGGTAGGGGGGCTCTCCGTTCCACTTCGATCTCACCCCCCAACCTCCGATGCTATCCCCCCAGCAGCCCTCGAAAGTTGCGACTGTTTCGCAAATCGCAGCCCCCCAGGGATGGCGAGGTCAAGTTTGGATTTGCGGCGGCTACCCACCATGCTGCCCCCCAAGCAGCCCTCGAAAGTTGCGACAGTTTCGCAAATGGCCCCCCCCAGGCATGGCGAGGTCTAGTTCGGCTTTGCGGCGGCTACCCACTATGCTGGCCCCCCAATCACCCCCCAAGCAGCCCTCGAAAGTGGCGACAGTTCCGCAAGTCGCAGCCCTTCCAGGGATGGCGAGGTCTAGTGTGGATCTGCGGCGTCTGCCCACTATGCTGTTCCCAAGCAGCCCTCGAAAGCGGCGACAGTTTCGCAAATCGCAACCCCCCAGGGATCGCAAGGTTTAATTTGGGTATGCGGAGGCTGCCCACTATGCTGCCACCCCCCGGCAGCCTTCGAAAGCGGCAACGGTTTCGCAAACCGCAGCCCCACCTACGGATGGCGAGGTCTAGTTTGGGCTTGCGGCGGCTACCCACTATGCTGCCCAAGTGGCGACAGTTCCGCAAGTCGCAGCCCCGAGGGATAGCGACGTCTAATTTGGGTCTGCGGCGGCTACCCACTATGCTGGCCCCCCAAGCTGCCCTCGTTCGTGGCGACAGTTTCGCAAATCGTAGCCCCCCCCCAGGGGTGGCGAGGTCTAGTTTGGGTCTGCGACAGCTACCCACCATGCTACCCCCCCCCCAGCAGCCCTCGAAAGTGGCGACGGTTTCGGAAATCGCAGCCCCCCAGGGATGGCGATGTCTAATGTGGGTCTGCGGCGTCTACCCACCATGCTGCCACCCCCCCAGCAGCCCTCGAAAGTTGCGACAGTTTCGCAAATCGTAGCCCTCCAGTGATGGTGAGGTCTAGTTTGGGTCTGCCGCGGCTACCCACTACGCTGGCACCCAAAGCAGCCCGCGAAAGCGGCGACAATTCCGCAAGTCGCAGCCCCCCAAGGATGGCGAGGTCTATTTTGGACCTACGGCGGCTACCCACTATGTCGTCCCCCCCGGCAGCCCTCGAACGTGGCGACAGTTCCGCAAATTGCAGCCCCTCGAGCAAGATGCACACACAAGAGGTACCGCAGGCAAGATGCACACACAAGAGGTACGCACAAGACAAGAGGAGATAAGAGAGAAGCGGGAGGCGGGAGGAGGAGGTGGAGGAGAAGAAGACGCGACCGCAGTGATCTATTCAAGATGCATATCCAACCAAGGAGGGTCGGGAAATAGTTTGTTGCTACATTACGTTCAACCGAAACCCGCCTGTAGGAGGACATGCCCGACCTAACGAAAACAGGTCTGCCCGCAGTGCCCGGCCGCTAGGAGCTCATTCGGGTGACCTTCATGGGGGCCACCCGACGCATCGCCTCGACCAGTCGAGGCACGTATCGATTGCAGTGCGGTGCTCGCTCGACCCAAGTTCGATTCCAGCCGACGGACGTTCGACGCCTCACCGATGCACGAGTGGAGCAAGCGGCTCCAGGAAGGCCCCCCAGGACGAGCAGCTGACGGCCACGGCCCAGCACGCCCCGTCTCGCCGCCACGGGGCCTGCGGCCGTACGTGGGCCTGGGCCCAGCGCCCGTCTTGAGGTCGCCGCCCCGCTTGTGATGTTGTCAGAACGTCCAGGCCCCCCCATTGGGCCCCACGTGGGAGGCCTCTCGAAAGGTAGGCGTCCCCACGATTGCCCTGGCTGTCTGGCAGGCCTCCCCATTGGGCCCCACGTGGGAGGCCTCTCGAGAGGCAGTCGTCGCCACGATTGCCCTGGCTGTCTGGCAGGCCTCCCCATTGGACCCCACTTGGGAGGCCTCTAGAGAGGTAGTGCTCGGCATGCTTCCCCCATTGGACCCCACGTGGGAGACCTCTCGAGAGGTAGTCGTCGCCACGATTGCCCTGGCTGCCTGGCACCTTGCCCAGCCCCCACCCCCAACATGCACGCACGTCTTCCCTCCCTCCTTCCAGCACGCGTCCTCCCCCTCGCACTCCTGCGCGCGCAGTGGGGGATGGGAGGGTGGGGAGGGAGGAGGAGGAGGAGGAGGAGGAGGAGGAGGAGGAGGAGGAGGAAGAAGAAAAAGAAGAAACATAATAATAATAGTGAGAATAAGAAAAAGAAGATGAAGAGGAGGAGGAGGAGGAGGAGGGAGGAGGAGGAGGAGGAGAGGAGCGAGGAGCGAGGAGGGAGGAGGAGCCAGGAGGAGCGAGGAGGAGGCGGAGGAGAAGCGAGGAGCAGCCAGGAGGAGGAAGAGGAGGAAGAGGAGGAGGAGACGGAGATGGAGGAGGGGGAGGAGGAGGAGGGGGAGGGGGAGGAAGAGGGGCGGCCTGATTGGATTTCGCCAGAGGAGGAGGAATGAGTAGTTCAAGTGTAGGAGGGGCTGGGCAGGATTGGATTGCTCGGCGCCAGAAGAGGAGCAGACAGTAGCAAGCCAACAGGGGGAAGTGTGGTGTGGATTGGAACTGCGCTTCGCAAGAGGAGGATCAGGATGGAGGAGCAAGGCAAGAGGAGGAAGAGGAGGACAACGAGAGAGAGAGAGAGAGCAGGAGGATACATAAATGGAGGAGGAGGAGGAGAAACAGGAGGAGGAGGAGGAGAAGGGGGAGGAGCAGCAGGATGAGGGAGGACGAGAGGAATGGCCCGCTGGGCACCGCTGCTTGACACCTCCGCTCACGCGCACCGCGCCGTCGTCCGCCGCCTCACTCCCCTCACCTTACTCATCGTTCTCACTTTGTCGATTCCTCTCTCCTCCTGCCTCATCCTCCTTATGTTGGCGCATCTGCCTCCCTCCCTCATCCGCCCTCCGCCTTCCTGCATCACTGCTTAGTTGGATCACCACCCGGATCCTGTCCGAGCGGCCCCGCACATTCTTTGGTGTTTCACATATATTTACATGGGCTGTTTTGTGCTATGTGGTTTTCACAGGGCGTCTTCGTTCGTTCAAGATGTTGCGGTTGCAGCGTTGGCCCCATATCAGCATCGGCGCTTGTTCCCGTCGTTCAGGAAGGTGCCCCCGCCCCAGCGCCGGCCACACCTCTGGATGTGAGTCCTTCCTCTTGGCCCTGATGCTGCGCTGTTCTTCCTCTCTTTCCTCACGATCCTCCTTGTCCTGCTTATCCGCCACCTCCTCCTGCTCCTCCTCCTGCTCCTCCTCCTCCTCCTCCCCCTCCTCCTCCTCCTCCTCCTCCTCCTCTTCCCCTCCTCCTCCTCCTCCTCCTCCTCCTCCTCCTCCTCCTCCTCCTCCTCCTCCTCCTCCAGGTGCTCAGGCTCCACTTCCGACCGCACGTCGCACGATGAGATCGCCTCGGGGACCGGGTCCTCTGGGACATCCGTCGGCGGACAGGGACCACGTCAGCGCAACGTGAAGGGATGGTTGGGAGCGGCTGGATGTCAGAAACTGCGCGCCCGGAGCTAGCTTATCTTTCTCCTCTCCCCTCCTCCTCCTCCTCCTCCTCCTCCTCCTCCTCCTCCTCCTCCTCCTCCTCCTCCTCCTCCTCCTTCTCTTCCATTTTTCTTCCTCATCCTCCTCATCCTCCTCCATTTCTTTCCCTTCTGGATGACTCCTCCCTGCCGTACCCCCAGACGTGTTCGTAGCGCGGGCCAGGGAAGACTTCCTCACCATTTCTGACCCTCAACCTTGAACCTCCGACAGTTTCACGGATGGAAGGTGGGCCGTGTTCAACACGTGGGCGACGCAAGAAAACGGGGTCGTTTTCACCGACATGGACGCGTAAGCTACCCGCGTAGGGTCGCGCGTAGGCGCTGGCGCGTGCCGCCCTGGCGGCCTAAGCCGCGGCGGACGGTCGTTGTGTCATATCGCGTAAGACTCGTTTTCGATGATCGTTCATGTGGCTCCCGCTTCAGCGCCGCACGCATTCGTTTTCAAACTTGGCAGCAGTTCTAAGGATGGGGGGCACGTAGTTTTCAACATGGGCGCCGCGCCCACGTGTTTGAAATCGCCTGGAACAGCTTAAAAGAAGGAAGGCGGCTCCTTTACCAAAATGTGGTTCTAGCTTCAGCGCAGCGCACTTGGGTTTTAAACGTTTGCGACTGTTTAGAGAAGTCGTCTGCCTGGAGTCACAGGAGTGGTGTTCTTGCACGGTCTCAGACTGTCAGGACGTAGTTGTCACGTTGATTCGCGCTGTTGAAGTGCCAGGAACAATGGTTTGGCACGTTTTGGGACTGTCGGGGCGCAACAGTCATGTGATCCGTGACGTTGAGATCCCAGGTGTTGTGTTTCGGTGCGAGTAAGGATTCTCAGACGCTTATCTTTTAATGGGCCACTACCCACATTGAAGATCAAGATCGAGGGAGGGTTTCTTGCAACCTGGTTGATGCTCCTTGGGTTTACGCTGGTCTTCCTCTTCCTCCTCCTCCTCCTCCACTGCTCTCCTCCTCTGCTCTCTTCCTCCCTCGTCACTCCTCCGTTCCGCCGCCCCCTCCTCCACCTTCCTCCTCCTCCTCAATCCCCCCTCCTCCCTCGTTCTCTTCCCCAGAATCCTCATCCGCCCCCTCCGCCCCCCCCCTTTTGCCGACGGCTTTGCCTACGCCATCGCTTCCGCCCTCGCCGGCGCCGCGGCCATCGCCTGCGCCTTTGCCAACACCCTCGCCGGCGGCCTCGCCGTTGGCCTCGCCTACGTCATCGCCGACGGCCTCGCTGGCGGCCGCGCCTGCGCCGACGCCATCGCTGACGGCCTCGCCTCCGTCGCCGCCCCTGGCGCCCACCCCCTTTCCTGTCCTCGCGCTGCCCGACGGGGCCGCTGACGACAGCTTCGGCCCGTCGGTGGCCGCGAGCTCCGACGGGGCCCGCGCCTGCGTGGCAGCGGGGGCCCCGGGGGCCTCCCTCCTCACTCCTGCGCCGCGTACGTGCTCGGCGGGGGCCAACCGTCGACCAGCTGCTGAAGTTCGGGGCGGGAGACGCGCGCTCTACGAGGCCGCCGGCGTCGAGCTACTGACGCTCGAGGCGGAGGACGGGGCCGCCGACGACGGCTTCGGCTCGTCGCTGGCCGTGGGCTGCGACGGAGCCTGCTTGGTGGTGGGGGCCGAAGGGGGGCTCCATCCCCCCTCCACCTTCCGGCCCCAAGTGCGTGTTCGACGTGGCCACCGGCGACCAGCTACTGAATCCCGGGTTGGAGGACGGCGCCGTCGACGACGACTTCGGCTCGACGGGGCTCACGCGGTGGTGGGGGCTGGGGTGGCTCCCTCCCTCCTCCCTCGTGGCTGAGGACGGGGCCGCCGACAACGGTTCGGCTTTTCAGTGGCCGCGAGCTCCGCCGGGGCCCGCGTTGTAGTGGGAGTCGGAAAGGGGCCCGATCCGCGCGCGTGTTCGACGGAGCCACCAGCGACCAGTGGCTGAAGCTCGGGGCGAAGGACGGGGCCGACTAGTCCTGCGTGGTTGTGGGAGAGCCCTTCCTTCCCTCGGGCCTCGCGCGCGTGTTCGACGGGGCCACTGGCGACCAGCTGCTGAAGCTCGGGGCGGAGGGCGGGGCCGCCGACGACGGCTTGGGTCGTCGGTGGCCTTGAGGTCCGACGGGGCCAACGTGGCAGTTGGGTATAGGAAGGCCCCTCTCTCCCTCCACCCCTCCGCCTCCGCGCGCGTGTCCGACGGGCCGGTGGGGGCAACTGGCGACCAGCTGCTGACGCACGTGGCGGAGGGCAGGGCCGCCGACGACGGCTTCGGCTCGCCGGCGGCCGCGGGCTCCGGCGGGGCCCTCGTGCTGGTGGGGCGCCAGGGCGGGCTCATCCCCCCGCCCCCCTCCGGCTCCGCTGGGGCCAGCGTCGACCAGCCGCTGAAGCTCGGGGCAGGTGACGGGGCTGCCGACGACGGCTCCGGCCTCCCCTCGCGGCCGCGAGTTCTGACGGGGCCCACGCGGTGGCGGGCCCCTGCGGGGGGGGGGGGCGGCGACGGCCACGCCCCTCTCCCACCAGGCGCTGCCGAGCAAGCGGCCCTCCCGCCAGTGTCCCCTTCCCGCCCCTCCCTCTCTTCTCCCTTCCCCCCGCCCCTCGCCTTCCCTCCCCCCCTCCCCTTGCCGTCGCGCCCTCTCCCCCGCCCTTCCCTCTCCTCGCCCCCCCCCCTCCTGGCCGTGCTCTCTCTCGCCCCCTCCCCCCCCCAAGGCCCAACACACTTCTTCCTCCCCAGACCTCCGACGTTGTGATTTTTCACACCGTCGACCCCCTGAGGTCTGGACCCTTTCCCCGGGACCGGTTTTTCATCCTGAGTCGCTTTTAAACGGTCCCGAGGCCTGGCAAGGGCCCCCAGAGGCCGAAAATAGCGAAAAGCCTCCCGTCGTGATTTTTTCGCAGCGCGAGGAGGCCTGGGTCCCCCCCCCCCGGAGAGGGGGCACGGACCGCTGCGCCGTGACGTCCGGCGCCTGTGGCGCGGCCGCCGTCGGCCCTGCGGGGCTGCTGCTCGCCATGGCCCGGGGTGTGAACGCGGCCCAA